TTTGGGTATTTGCCAGAGATTTGCTCATTTATCTTGTCTCTGCACACCTGATAGTTCAATTTGAGAGATCATCTAGCCCTTCAATTTTCTGGATTCTCCATTTGGTGGTCTGATAAGAAATATCATCTAATCTAACTCCCAATATGCCTTGATCTGATGATGCTACCCCATAATAAATTATGCTAGATCTATCCATTTTTATGATAATTTTCTTCCCTTGGATTGTCAAAGGCAGTATGGGCAACTTTTGAGAAACAAAATTTATGTGTTTTATTATTAGGTTTATTTAAGTGATCTGAATTCGGTTTTAGGACTCCTAGTTGGAGACTGGAACTTAGTTCACAGATGATGTAGCTTCTTTCCATAATGAGGCTTTGTTTTAAAATTTTAAGGTAGAGACAGTGTTATGTTTTAGGCTTACTGTACAGCAGCAGCATCCCACTGTTCTGACTTATCTATAACAAATGTTTTTTCTGTTAATTTGTAGACCATTCATATGCACCTTAATTTTTTTTAATGCAGGTAATGCCTGCTGTCATCAATGTCATGAAGGACGAGGCAACATTAGTTACACTTGTTAAACCTCAGTTTGAGGCCCGCAGATCACAGGTTTGTAATTCTGTTGTACTTGCTTCTCTTTTTCTTTTCAAAATTTTATCCAAGGTCATAGATGTATTTTCCTTATATCTCCTCCCCCCACCCCCCTTTTAAGTCCTCCAGTGGGTTTTGTAATGTAGCTTCAACGATTTAGGATGATTTGAGGAAAGGTTAATCCAAAGCACAGAATACACATCAAAACTAGTCTGTCATAAATGACTGCTAACTGAACCAAAACTATTTTCTGGTGTACCTTGGTAAAGCCTGGGCACAATCCAGTTGTACTCATTAAGATTATGTCCTTTTATTTAACTTGCAAATCTTGAGACCCGCTAACTGATCTTTGATGATCTACACTGACTGCAGTCCCTTGGCGGTTCGAGCTTGGGATTTTCCCCAATCCCCAGCTTACATGCTATTGTGCCCTACCTCAACAGATGAATGACTTAGCTAAGATTTTATCACCTTTTCACATGCAAACACCCTCATCATTTTCCTTTTTAGTTCATTGCATTTGCATATCATTATACTGTTGAAATGCAAATCTCTTTGATGCTTGGGTGGTAACACTAACAAGAAGTGCATGCTGAGACAAGTGTTACTAGAACAGGACATATTCGAGGGCAAATTTTTGAAATACGGAGGCATGACACAAGGCATTCCACTACCCGGATGTGTGAGGCATAGTTTAGAATGWAAGAGGTGTAAGCCTCCTGGGCGCAAGGAAGCATAAGCCTCTTCAAGAGGAGTTCTTCTTCTGGTTGACAGCCAGCATAAAAACATTTAACCAATCCAATATGAATATGAATCATGAATCRTTTTGGCATGGCTCTTGATAGAGTACAATAGTGGGATGATTCATCTAGCTAACCCCAAATARTTGGGATTAGGTTTGAGTTGAGTTGAGTATGTAGTATGCATATCTGGATGATGGGTTTTATAAGCTTCAATTTCCTTCTCAGCTAGAACCTAGAAACTATTTGTTATTTTTTTCCTTAAATCTTTTCTTGTGATCTAGTTCTCATCATTTTCTGTTTAATGGGTATGAATTTCCTAATTTACAATGAGTCGCTGCCAAGAAAAGATATTTATCTACTCATTTATATTCTGGATTTTGTTTCCTTCGCAGGTGGGAGGAGGTGGAATTGTAAGAGATCCCCTAGTCCATCAAGAAGTATGTATACATCCCCYGAACTTGTTATTTGATTGATTTATTGTAATATAGAAGCCTCAGAAACCCAATTTTTAAAAGTATAGAATCTACTTGGCAACTTTACCACTTACAAAGTTCAGCTCACACTACCAATTCAGAGATTGTGTTTAGCTCTTGGTGCCAGTAAAGCTGTTTGGTCAGTTGAATTCTGAAATTATTAGCTAACATGAAGCCTATGAGACTACAGTTGTAGGATGAGCCTTCATGTCACTCCATTTTGGCTTTATCATGAATTGTTTTTAGTTATTGGAGCTTTTTCCTGTGGGTGTGGGTGTGGTTGTAGTTGTGTTTGAGCACGTGTTTATATGTGTATGCATACGTCTATATGGACCATTCAACCTTAAAAATAAAAATTCCTTATTCTTGCATCAAGATACATCATCTCAGTACCTTACCCTGTGGTCTGTCCACCAATTTTCTTTTTTGTCCTGGGTAGTGCCCACCACAAATTTACTTGCACACGCAGACACTCTTACACTTGTCCTAAAACAGTGAAGCATAATTGTTGGTTAACTTCATTGGTTTTTTAGGTATGCAAATGTGAAATTTCATTGATTTGGTTGTATTATTTAGGTTCTTGAAAGGATCATAAAGGGTGTTGAAAACTTTGGATTCTCCAGCAGTGGGTGGATTGAATCTCCAATAAAGGGTGCTGAGGGTAATAAAGAGTTCCTAGTTTGCTTTCATCGAACAGCTGAGAGAACCACATGCTAGTTTCTTGTACAGAGAATATTCCAATTTTCAACTTGTCAATTTCTAGAAATTGCAAAATTTTGACTTAGAGATGAAGATCAGCTTTGTCTTCAAAGAACATGGAGAATCCTTGCTTCTCTAGAAATGAAAGCGTGCTTGCATTACCGTCTGGATCTTGAATGCAAAAGTAGATGATGCCTACTGCCTCCAACAATACAATGAAATGCCAAAAGGCCGGAGGTGCATTCCTGTTCATTTTTGAAACCCTTCTGATGGTACAAGACTACAAGCAACAGTTTTTAAAGGGTAACCAAATGATATAACCAATACTCTTCATGTGAGAAGAATAYTTTTATTTACAAAAATAATTGAAGATAGCCTTCTTTATTCAATTATATGGTTCAATGCCTTTCCCTAGTTTTTTTAAGAAATAATTGTATAAAGCCTTCCTTGATAAAATGACATTTCTTCATTTTGCCACCTGAAWGTGTCAGAATTTTAATAGGCGAATATGTAAATCGGAATTGTCAACGGAAGTCAGTTATACCAAAGTTGGAATTGCAAGATGTATTTGATTCGTTTATATCCATTGGATTTGAATCAACTACGGACCAATAGTATAAATAAATTAAAATATTATATAATGAACTATAAAAAACTGTGATGTTGTATTTCATGAACAAAATGAATTGAAAATAATTTTGTAGAACTTCGAACCTATGGCAGTATTAAACACTACAAACTAACCTCATTAATGAATAATTGGATACAATGTAAATTTTAACTATATACGAGCATATATTTTTAAAACAGAATGGATTTTATTGGATGGGAGATGGGTGGATTGGCATTTGATCCAATTATAAACGGATTGAATTCGGATCACTTTGATGAAATCGAGTTCAAATTTGGACAAAGCATTTTGCAGGGAATGAGTCCGGACCTTCTGCCAACAAAACACATTCCAATAGCTTATCAACATGATCAGGCACCACACATCTTGTATATGGCAAGGTCTCACTCTTATGGTGGGTCCCAGTCTTTTATTGGCAGGAGATCTATAAGAGGACGTTACTACATAACGGCAGAGTTATAAATCTAACATTTACAATTTCCAAGATTTCCATCTTATTTGACTATACAAGTTGGTGTTGAATCTTTTCATTAAGATACAAGGTGACTTTTGTTTTAGTTCTTGGGCACAAAGAAAAAGCTTCCTCCTTTGATGACTCTTTAGTAGCAAGTTCGGAATTGGATGAAAAATGCCACAGCTAAAGCGCGGCTATTACCTATGTTATTACATTTAAAACCAGATCGGACCGGATGGTCAGATCGGAAAAACCAGGATCGATTGATTTCATTTCACCCCAAAACTGTTTTTAGCTAAAACCATTGATTTGATCAGTGAATTGCTGATCCGGGCGGTTGAACCATCGATCTGAACGACGGTTTTTAGCCATTTTTTGTTTTGTTTTTATTTTTTATTTTTCTGTTAGAGCAGGTTAGACCGTTCGACCTAGGAACTGGACTCTAGAATAATTCCTTGTTTGGTCCAGTTTTAAATACCTTACGGAAACAATTTTAGGGTGTGATATGCACAAGCACAACATAAATGTTTTTGTTTTTATTTACTTTTTGAAATTGCAACATTACCAAAAAAAAACACTTTTTTCGAAAAATAATGACACGACAAATTTTGTATAAACAAAACAATGCTTTAGAAAGGAGATGGGATCAGCTGTAGTGCCCCCCTCCGCCGATGCCTCCGTGCATTGGGAATATCTCCCCATCACAAGCACAGATGTTCCCAGTGCACGGAGGGGATGGGCAGGGGGCGTGCTCTGGGGGCGATCCGATCACTTTAGAAACCATCAAAATAATGGCCTTTAAAAGAAACAAAACGTTTTGGTGTGGAAGGCATATGATTTATTACACATGATATTAAATTACTATATGAAAACATGTTCTTTAATCCAAAAATTTAGGCAGCATTTGGTAGGAAAGCAAATGCAAAATCAAGATGAATTTGTTCTCCACTCCAATTCAGTTTCACGTTCTTTGGTTTGTTGACAAAGTGTGTAAGACAGTTGAGTGGTTTGTTGACCACTGATTGAACGGTTGCCGCCCGGGTCAGTGGTTTGTTGACCAAGGTTTTTGAAGAAAATCCAATTTTGGGGAAAACAGAACCAGTCACCTGACTAGGTCCCAATTTTTCCAGTCCGACCGTCCAGTCCAGTCCGATTTTAAAAACCATGGTTTTAAGAACCAATTTGTTCTCAAACCAACTAGTTTTGTTTCGTTTTTTGAACTTGGAACAAAAATAACAATTCACATTGGGCACCACTCTCTTGGTTGGAAGTTGGAACAGGGGCGTAGGGTATATAAGATTTGGCATTTGAGCCAGGCTTTTTGTTAAATTTTACATCGTAACGACAGAACAGAAGATATTCCAGTTTGAACAATTATCTCAACTGGATACAGCCCATTTGGAATCAAATAAGAAATCCAACGTGATAAAATTGCGATAAATATATGCCTTATTAACAATCCTCTTGAGGGTTCCATCGAGATAATCCATCATTAACAGAAGATGAAGATGAAACAGGGTATAACTGAGCCTTTTTAAGCATTTCAAGGGGGATTTTTAGACCAACAACCTGACCAACTACCGATAACCATGAAATTAAGTATTTTTCTATGACATACTCGTTGTTACAACTGTCACCAGAAAAAAGTAACTTCACCCACTCACTAGTTCCACATGGATGCAATGTGTACCATGGCCTGTTCAAGTATGGATGCTCCTGCAATTAGTCAGAAAGATGTTCAGATTTTGTTATATAAAAAATCTAATCACCGAGTACCTCCAGATCAACAATTTTAACATTGACAAACAAAAATGCCAAGAAGATGGAACATCTATAAAGTTGAAAATGTTTTTACCTATAAAAAGAGGCAGAAAAGATTTGGTAAATATAGACACCTACAATTTCAGGTAAATAGAAAAAGTAGCATTTTTTTCTACTTTTTTTTGCATGTTTAAAATTCATCTCTCTGTAGAGAATAGGTGGATAAAATTCATGTATGGACAAGAAGATAAAATAGCACAGGAAGCATCAGAACACTGTTGTGTTGCCATGGGATGGAGTAAAAGATGACATCCACTCTACAACTACTAGGAAACAGAAATGGTTTGCTTGTTATAGGAAAATGTACCCGTGAAAGTGGCCATTTTGTTTCCCCTACAGCCCATTTGGTTGCTGAGAAAGAGATGGGATGGAAAGCATCTTTAAGGAATATTCTTTTTGTGATGTGTTTGTTTTGAAGAAAAAACTAGGATGGAATGAGAAAGTTTTGAGACGCGAGTTCCCAAAAGTCTATGTGAGGTCACACCAAAATGGTGCGACCCCACCAGAAAGGAAGCAAGTGAGAATTTTGTCAAGAGCACCATTCCGAGCATCATCTTCCTTTCACATGCCGTTCACCAGTCTTCTCATTGGCCGGCGACTTCTTTCGCTGGTAAGTTCAGATTTGCAATCCTCTTACGATTTCAGTTCACTTTTATACCATTTTTGTCTCATTTCATTGAATGAGTTCCCATTCGAATCTGATCATCCTCTACCTCTCTGTTCGTCCAAACCAACCTCCATTGCCATAAAATACTTGAAGTGCCATTCAAGGTGTTCATTTGAACGTTGGAGCTCCAGATCTGGCTTTCGGTGTTTGCCTCATCTAGATTTGGCTTCCAGCATTTGCTTCATCCAGATCTGGCTTCCGACGTTTACCTCGTCCAAATCCGGGGTTTGCCTCGTCCAGATCTGGCTTCCGCCATTCAAAGTGAACTGTCGTTCACTTTTATACCATTTTTTTATTGCTTTGGCTTGAAATTTGTGATGGCTTTATTATTGTTTTGTTTCAGGTAATCTCAGGCAAGCCAAAGGGATCTCAGGTAATCTCTGTTACAACAGTTTTATTTTTATTTTTTCTTGATTCTTACTCTGTTAATGCTCCATCGGTAAACTGTGCAACTTACTCTGTTAATGCTCCATTGGTAATCTCTTTTTTTTTTTGTGTATGCTTTCTATATGTGATTGTACTCAAAACAGTTTTTATAGGATTTGATATTTGCCTTTTGATTACATAGTGAGTGAAACACATCTATATGAGATCCTTTGAATAACATCGGAATGCTATGTTTGAAGTTTTGCTTTTGAGCATATATACTTCTAACTGCCAACATGCACCTTCTCATGAAAAAAAAAAGTGAATAACTGATCTGAATGATAAGAAAAAAATCATATTTCATTAATCAAATACTATTGTGCCACGTCGTCTCCAAAACAAGTCTTGTGATGTGGGCTTGGAGAATGCATGGATTTGTTAAACTAGGATGGATCCAACAATCCTGTAAAATTTTCTCAGCAATCAAACATTGGGAAACAGGTTTGGTAGGATAACTGGTCTCAACAACCAAACACAAGTGACAGGATTGAGAAAAAAAAATCCCTTCCCATCCTTTCTCGGCAACCAAACGGACCATTAGGTTGTGTTTGTTGTGAGAAGGAAAATTATGAGAAAGTTAATAAATTTCATAAGAAACCTTAAAAACTTTCCCAAATTTTTCATTTTCTTGGTAATTTTCTGATAAACCATACTAAATCCTCAAAGATTTCAGTTTGAGCTCCATTTTGATTCTTTAATGTATCTGGGCAACTCAAAACAGGAAATCTAATACTACACAAGGATACTATAATTAAAGAGAAAAAAGAAGAAAATATCAGTTTTTTTTGAGAAAAGTGTACCTCTTGAGTTATGAATGTCCATTTTGACTCCCTCAATATCTTCAAAGAGTTTGGTGGGAGATCCTTTTCAATGTCGTCTAATGCCAAAGGTTGTCCATCTACACAAACAATTGTGTTATATACAGTGTAAGTATGTATGTATGGATTAGTGTGTTCAAGGTGAGGGAAACTGTTTTCTACAAAGCCATTTTAGTGGAGTATTTTCATTAAGTAGGTTTCCTTGGCAGTTGAAGTGGCAAATCAAAAGATTTCCACAGGTCTGCACATCACAATTTACTAATCTAGCAAGTTTCAGCACTATAGCACAGGCCAGGTGACAAGATAAAATTTTCCCCGCTGGAATAAAGCAATTTGGACGAGTGGAATTTCTTGTACTTTGTATCTGATTGCAAACCAAAAGAATTCCACAAGATTGAGAATCCTAATAATTGATCATGGCAGAATACCACATACAGGACTGATGTGGAAGGAACACTATCCATATACAATCCAGAGGGTTTTATGTGTAGAAGAATTTTTCTGACTTCTCTGGGTCAGAATATGTTAGTTGCACACTACTCTGAACTCTTTCAAGAATAGGGGCTCCTTTTTCTATTTCATACACAACTCCTTTGCCATTACTTATGTGAAAAGAATGGTTACTCGTTTACCCAAATAAGAAACTGCACGTCATGAAATCTATAACATTGGTATTGTATATATTTTTTATGGGAGATCTTTAGACAGTATATTTTGTATTTGATTTAATTTGAAAATGTTTACATACCAGAGTAATATGCACGAAAATATAGCACTGGGACCTTGTAGGAACCACTGTACAATATGTGGAAATCATAGAAATGCACTTCTTCGTCACAGCTCTGAACCTTGTAGACAAAACCAAGAACTTCATTATTCATCAAGAAAACAGATAGAGAAAAGAATCATGATAGTATTATATTTAATCAAGGATAACATTATCTTATTTTTTTCTTTGATGAAAAAAGTTATACATTTGTCAATAATGTTATCTATATCTGTAACAGAGAGCAACCCAGGGAGGGGGGGCAGGGAGAAGGGAGAAATTAACATGAACCGTACCAGTGTGGCATCATCAGTCAATTCCTCCTTGTAGTAACTGGGTTCTTCTTTTGAAGTGCAACTTCTATCAGGATCTTCCTATAAAGTGCAGTTGTTAGAAGACAACATCAATTTTGTGGTTATATATAGGGAAACCAACCTCATCTGAAATAAAAAAAAAAAAGGCAAATCTCTTAAACTACCTCTTAAGGTTTAGGAAATTGACTAACTATACCCCTACTGTTTCAGTATTATCTTAAAGTACCCCTACTGTTTCTGACAATTCACTAAGGGCCTGTTCGTTTGCTCTATAGTCTGACATCTGAAAGTGCAATAGTTACACTAAGAGGTATATTGGTATTGGTGAACTTTTCTTTCCTCTGAACTCTGAATGCAAAGAATGTTGTTCTCAACTCTGAATTCTGAATTCTGAAAATTATCAAATATCTATTTTGACCCCATATATTAGACTTTTTGTTTGTCTTTTTGGGGGTATCATTGGAAAACAAAAAATTGTATGATTGCACTTTCAGAGATAAGAGATATGAGGAAACGAACAACCATTTTTCTCTTAAAAGTTAAAAGATTCCTCTTAAGAGATAAGAATTAAGAGGAAACGAACAGGCCCTAAATCTTCTTTACCGTCAGTGTCCGTTAACGGAAGCATTAAAAAGACTATTTTGCCCATCATTCCTCTTTTTCTCAGTCCTTGTTGGGGTCACCCTTAAAAACCACCGCTGTTTTACAAATTGTAGAGCGTAAGGTATCATAGCAACGACTAAGATGTAGCATAACTTGACTGATCCCTTGGGTGTGACTACAACATTCAAAATGGAGACCGGGTCTTGGGAGCAGTTGGGTATTTGAAGCAAGCTCTTTCCAAAATTTAAACATCTCCTATCAGAACTCCAACCCGCTTTACTGAGCAACTCAAAGAACGTCTGGAATTTCAAGAGTAGAGCATCTGTTATCTCCTCCGAATTCCATTTTAGAGTCCCCTGTTATGTTTTGCAGACTGCAAAAAGAAATTGCAACTAATAGACTGGAGAAGCTCATGAATATGAAGTCAAAGATGGGAAACCAACCAAAACCTACCTACCAGGTTTCATTATACGGATTCAGTTATTGGGTATTCAAACACCCCGTCTTTCAAAGAGAGCTTCTTCTAAACTCCAATGAAGGTCTCCAAGTACACGAAAGCCTCTGTAGTCTGTGGCTGTGTGAAGAAAAAGAAGACTTCTTCTCTGTGTTGCAGGCTGCATAGAATAACAAGAAGAGGAGGTTGTGCCTGAATGGTAAGGTCTCTGGTGTTTCCACACCCTTACTGACCGGAAGAAAACGGACCACCACCAATAACACTATGCCATCTGAAACCCAAACTAGTGCCTAGCGCCTGAATGGTAAGGTCTCTGGTGCAGAGGTAAACCCTCTATTCCTCCTCCATCCTCATCCGGGACCCTCTATTCTTCCTCCATCGTTGCCCAGGAAAATGCAATGGCATGGACTCCGGCTTCTTCATCTCTCTCCGTCCCCTTCTCTCCATCTCTATGATGTGTGTTTCCTAACCCAGTGCAGCTTCGATTACATCCTTGTAAGCCACTGGGAAGCAGCTTTCGGGAACGAGGTGATGCTCAGAAGAGACGATCAAGGCAGGCAGCGGCTGCGGTGATGAAACGAGTTGCAGAGAGAGAGGCCAGAGGTGGGGGGGGGGTCCACTTTGCAGTGGTGGTGATGAAACAGGGGAGAAAACGAAGGGGAAGGAGAAGGAGAAAGAGAAAGAGAGTGAAGGGTAAAATTGGGTTTTAAAAAAATATATGCCACGGGCTGTCACGTGTGTACGGAACTTGACGGATGATAACGGTAAGGGTAGAGCTAGTCAATTGTCAGAAACAGTAGGGGTACTTTAAGACAATACTAAAACAGTAGGGGTATAGTTAGTCAATTTCCTAAACCTTAGGGGTAGTTTAAGAAATTTGCCCAAAAAAATATAGGGATCCTTAGGAACCAACCCCATTAGATCTCAGATAGCATACATTTTCCAAGGAAAGGTACCCCTCTACCTGCAAATGGAAAAGGAGACAAGGAAGTAAAAGAACGAGAATATCAATCTATTGGTTTAAATAAATAGTGCAAAATATTGTCATAAAAAAGCATCAACAACTGACTTCATGAGAAGCAGCCCAGGATGGTCTTGGACAAGGGAACCATGTCCATGGAGGGAGTACATGGTTCATATGTTTCCATTTCTGAGATAGAGCCCTTGCAGCAAAATAAAATTCGCTCAATCTGAGAGTTCCATCCCATGATGAAGCACTATCCATTGTTTGCTTGATTTGAAACTGTTACATTGGACATGGCAATATGTTTGTTATGAGCAAGAAAAGGAATATACTTCCAAGATTAGAAATAGGTGGGTGGATTTTCTGAAAGTTTCAGACTACCCATGCTACTTAAGTTGGATTTATATGACAAAATCATACAAC